ACTAGCTGCGTCATGATAGATATGTGTTATTGTTCACTATCCGTGTCATGATAGATATATGTTTTTGGTCACTAGCCGTGTCATGATAGATATATGTTAGTGGTCACTAGCTGCGTCATGATAGATATATGTGAGTGGTCACTAGCTGCGTCATGATAGATATGTGTTATTGGTCACTATCCGTGTCATGATAGATATATGCTTTTGGTCACTAGCCGTGTCATGATAGATATATGTTATTGGTCACTAGCCATGTCATGATAGATATATGTTAGTGGTCACTAGCTGCATCATGATAGATATGTGTTATTGGTCACTATCCGTGTCATGATAGATATATGTTATTGGTCACTATCCGTGTCGTGATAGATATATGTTAGTGGCCACCTGCTGCATCATGATAGATATATGTTATTGGTCACTAGCTGCATCATGATAGATATATGTTAGTGGTCACTATCCGTGTCATGATAGATATATGTTTTTGGTCACTAGCCGTGTCATGATAGATATATGTTATTGGTCACTAGCCATGTCATGATAGATATATGTTAGTGGTCACTAGCTGCATCATGATAGATATGTGTTATTGGTCACTATCCGTGTCATGATAGATATATGTTATTGGTCACAAGGCGTGTCATGATAGATATATGTTATTGGTCACAAGGCGTGTCATGATAGATATATGTTATTGGTCACTATCCATGTCATGATAGATATATGTTAGTGGCCACCTGCTGCATCATGATAGATATATGTTATTGGTCACTAGCTGCATCATGATAGATATATGTGAGTGGTCACTAGCTGCGTCATGATAGATATATGTTATTGGTCACTAGCTGCGTCATGATAGATATGTGTTATTGGTCACAGGGCGTGTCATGATGGATATATGTTATTGGTCACTAGCTGCATCATGATAGATATATGTTATTGGTGACTAGCCATGTCATGATAGATATATGTTAGTGGTCACTAGCTGCATCATGATAGATATGTGTTATTGGTCACTATCCGTGTCATGATAGATATATGTTATTGGTCACAAGGCGTGTCATGATAGATATATGTTATTGGTCACTATCCGTGTCATGATAGATATATGTTAGTGGCCACCTGCTGCATCATGATAGATATATGTTATTGGTCACTAGCTGCATCATGATAGATATATGTTATTGGTCACTAGCTGCATCATGATAGATATATGTTATTGGTCATAGGGCGTGTCATGATAGATATATGTTATTGGTCACTATCTGCATCATGATAGATATATGTTATTGGTCATTAGCTGCGTCATGATAGATATATGTTATTGGTCCCTAGCTGCATCATGATAGATATATGTTATTGGTCATTAGCTGCATCATGATAGATATATGTTATTGGTCACAAGGCGTGTCATGATAGATGTATGTTATTGGTCACTATCCGTGTCATGATAGATATATGTTATTGGTCACTATCCGTGTCATGATAGATATATGTTAGTGGCCACCTGCTGCATCATGATAGATATATGTTATTGGTCACTAGCTGCATCATGATAGATATATGTGAGTGGTCACTAGCTGCGTCATGATAGATATATGTTAGTGGTCACTAGCTGCGTCATGATAGATATGTGTTATTGGTCACTATCCGTGTCATGATAGATATATGTTTTTGGTCACTAGCCGTGTCATGATAGATATATGTTATTGGTCACTAGCCATGTCATGATAGATATATGTTAGTGGTCACTAGCTGCATCATGATAGATATGTGTTATTGGTCACTATCCGTGTCATGATAGATATATGTTATTGGTCACAAGGCGTGTCATGATAGATATATGTTATTGGTCACAAGGCGTGTCATGATAGATATATGTTATTGGTCACTATCCATGTCATGATAGATATATGTTAGTGGCCACCTGCTGCATCATGATAGATATATGTTATTGGTCACTAGCTGCATCATGATAGATATATGTGAGTGGTCACTAGCTGCGTCATGATAGATATATGTTATTGGTCACTAGCTGCGTCATGATAGATATGTGTTATTGGTCACAGGGCGTGTCATGATAGATATATGTTATTGGTCACTAGCTGCATCATGATAGATATATGTTATTGGTGACTAGCCATGTCATGATAGATATATGTTAGTGGTCACTAGCTGCATCATGATAGATATGTGTTATTGGTCACTATCCGTGTCATGATAGATATATGTTATTGGTCACAAGGCGTGTCATGATAGATATATGTTATTGGTCACTATCCGTGTCATGATAGATATATGTTAGTGGCCACCTGCTGCATCATGATAGATATATGTTATTGGTCACTAGCTGCATCATGATAGATATATGTTATTGGTCACTAGCTGCATCATGATAGATATATGTTATTGGTCATAGGGCGTGTCATGATAGATATATGTTATTGGTCACTATCTGCATCATGATAGATATATGTTATTGGTCATTAGCTGCGTCATGATAGATATATGTTATTGGTCCCTAGCTGCATCATGATAGATATATGTTATTGGTCATTAGCTGCATCATGATAGATATATGTTATTGGTCACAAGGCGTGTCATGATAGATGTATGTTATTGGTCACTATCCGTGTCATGATAGATATATGTTATTGGTCACTATCCGTGTCATGATAGATATATGTTAGTGGCCACCTGCTGCATCATGATAGATATATGTTATTGGTCACTAGCTGCATCATGATAGATATATGTGAGTGGTCACTAGCTGCGTCATGATAGATATATGTTAGTGGTCACTAGCTGCGTCATGATAGATATGTGTTATTGGTCACAGGGCGTGTCATGATGGATATATGTTATTGGTCACTAGCTGCATCATGATAGATATATGTTATTGGTCACTAGCTGCATCATGATAGATATATGTTAGTGGTCACTAGCTGCATCATGATAAATATGTGTTATTGGTCACTATCCGTGTCATGATAGATATATGTTATTGGTCACAAGGCTATCATGATAGATATATGTTATTGGTCACAAGGCGTGTCATGATAGATATATGTTATTGGTCACTATCCGTGTCATGATAGATATATGTTAGTGGCCACCTGCTGCATCATGATAGATATATGTTATTGGTCACTAGCTGCATCATGATAGATATATGTTATTGGTCACAGGGCGTGTCATGATAGATATATGTTATTGGTCACTAGCTGCATCATGATAGATATATGTTATTGGTCATTTGCTGCATCATGATAGATATATGTTATTGGTCCCTAGCTGCATCATGATAGATATATGTTATTGGTCATTAGCTGCATCATGATAGATATATGTTATTGGTCACACGGCGTGTCATGATAGATGTATGTTATTGGTCACTATCCGTGTCATGATAGATATATGTTAGTGGTCAGCTGCTGCATCATGATAGATATATGTTATTGGTCACTAGCTGCATCATGATAGATATATGTTATTGGTCATTAGCTGCATCATGATAGATATATGTTATTGGTCACGGGGCGTGTCATGATAGATATATGTTATTGGTCACTAGCTGCATCATGATAGCTATATGTTATTGGTCATTAGCCGCATCATGATAGATATATGTTATTGGTCACTAGCTGCATCATGATAGATATATGTTATTGGTCATTAGCTGCATCATGATAGATATATGTTATTGGTCACAAGGCGTGTCATGATAGATGTATGTTATTGGTCACTATCCGTGTCATGATAGATATATGTTATTGGTCCCTAGCTGCATCATGATAGATATATGTTATTGGTCACTAGCTGCATCATGATAGATATATGTTATTGGTCACAAACCTAGTTATGATAGATGTATATGTTATTGGTCACAAGCCGTGTCATGATAGATGTATGTCATTGGTCACAAGTCTTGTCATGATAGATATATGTTATTGGTCCCTAGCTGTGTCATGATAGATATATGTTAGTGGTCACTAGCTGCGTCATGATAGATATATGTGAGTGGTCACTAGCTGCGTCATGATAGATATGTGTTATTGGTCACTATCCGTGTCATGATAGATATATGTTTTTGGTCACTAGCCGTGTCATGATAGATATATATTTGTGGTGACTAGCTGAATCATGATAGATATATGTTATTGGTCACAAGCCTGGTTATGATAGATATATGTTAGTGGTCACTAGCTGCATCATGATAGATATATGTTATTGGTCACAAGCCTGGTTATGATAGATATATGTTAGTGGTCACTAGCTGCATCATGATAGATATATGTTGTTGGTCACTAGCCACGTCATGATAGATATATGTTAGTGGTCACTAGCTGCATCATGATAGATACATGTTTTTGGTCACTAGCCGCGTCATGATAGATATATGTTAGTGGTCACTAGTTGCATCATGACAGATATATGTTATTGGTCACTAGCCGTGTCATGATAGATATATGTTAGTGGTCACTAGCTGCATCATCATAGATACATGTTTTTGGTCACTAGCCGCGTCATGATAGATATATGTTAGAGGTCACTAGTTTCATCATGACAGATATATGTTATTGGTCACTAGCCGTGTCATGATAGATATATGTTATTGGTCACTAGCTGCTTCGTGATAGATATTTGTTATTGGTCACTAGCCGCTTTGTGAAAGATATATGTTATTGGTCACTAGCCGCTTCATGATAGATTTGTGTCATTGGTCACTTGCCGCTTTGTGATAGATATATGACGCTAAACTGTTTAGAATTTAAACAAATTGTAAACATGCTGTAACGTGTGTATTACCTTAACACATTGTTGACAATGTACTGTATTTTACATCTGTCAGTTGACACGAGAATGAATGATAGATCTATCGTGAATATGTCATAAGACAAAAAACCTCGAATTGGATACTAATTTCCCATTTGAATATATTCTGGAACTGGTTATGCATGCCGATCTGCTCAGTGCACTCAAAGACGCTCATAACATACCAATGAGCATATCCTGGGGCCACACCATCTTGTCTCGCACAAGAACCTGCCTGTTGCTGCCGTCCATGCCACAGCGTTCAACCTTGATGCCATCTTTGTCCCAGCCTGTCCAGTACATCCACCTGTAACATTCCTTCATTTAAGTCAATACATCCATCTGTAACATTACTTCATGTCAGTCAACACATCCTCCTGTAACATTACTTAATGTCAGGCAATGTATCAACCTGTAACATTACTTAATGTCAGGCAATGTATCCACTTGTAACATTACTTAATGTCAGTCAATACGACCACCTGTAACATTACTTAATGACAGTCAATACATCCTCCTGTAACATTACTTAATATCAGTCAATTCATCCTCCTGTAACATTACTTCATGTCAGTCAATGCATCCACCTGTAACATTACTTAATATCAGTCAATTCATCCTTCTGTAGCATTACTTAATGACAGTCAATTCATCCTCTGTAACATTACTTAATGTCAGTCAATTCATCCTCCTGTAACATTACTTAATATCAGTCAATTCATCCTCCTGTAACATTACTTAATGACAGTCAATACATCCTCCTGTAACATTACTTAATATCAGTCAATTCATCCTCCTGTAACATTTCTTCATGTCAGTCAACACATCCATCTGTAACATTACTTAATATCAGTCAACACATCCATCTGTAACATTACTTAATATCAGTCAATACATTCTCCAGTAACATTACTTAATATCAGTCAATTCATCCTCCTGTAACATTACTTAATGTCAGTCAATTCATCCTCCTGTAACATTACTTCATGTCAGTCAACACATCCTCCTGTAACATTACTTAATGTCAGGCAATGTATCAACCTGTAACATTACTTAATGTCAGGCAATGTATCCACTTGTAACATTACTTAATGTCAGTCAATACGACCACCTGTAACATTACTTAATGACAGTCAATACATCCTCCTGTAACATTACTTAATATCAGTCAATTCATCCTCCTGTAACATTACTTCATGTCAGTCAATGCATCCACCTGTAACATTACTTAATATCAGTCAATTCATCCTTCTGTAACATTACTTAATGACAGTCAATTCATCCTCTGTAACATTACTTCATGTCAGTCAATTCATCCTCCTGTAACATTACTTAATATCAGTCAATTCATCCTCCTGTAACATTACTTAATGACAGTCAATACATCCTCCTGTAACATTACTTAATATCAGTCAATTCATCCTCCTGTAACATTTCTTCATGTCAGTCAACACATCCATCTGTAACATTACTTAATATCAGTCAACACATCCATCTGTAACATTACTTAATATCAGTCAATACATTCTCCAGTAACATTACTTAATATCAGTCAATTCATCCTCCTGTAACATTACTTAATGTCAGTCAATTCATCCTCCTGTAACATTACTTAATATCAGTCAATTCATCCTCCTGTAACATTTCTTAATGACAGTCAATACATCCTCTTGTAACATTACTTAATATCAGTCAATTCATCCTCCTGTAACATTACTTCATGTCAGTCAATACACCCACCTGTAACATTACTTAATATCAGTCAATTCATTCTCCTGTAACATTACTAAATGACAGTCAATACATCCTCCTGTAACATTACTTAATATCAGTCAATTCATCCTCCTGTAACATTACTTAATATCAGTCAGTTCATTCTCCTGTAACATTACTAAATGACAGTCAATACATCCTCCTGTAACATTACTTAATATCAGTCAATTCATCCTCCTGTAACATTTCTTCATGTCAGTCAACACATCCATCTGTAACATTACTTAATATCAGTCAATACATCCTCCTGTAACATTACTTAATGTAAGTGAATACACCCACCTATAACATTACTTAATGTCAGTCAATGCATCCATCTGTAACATTATATAAAGTAAGTCAATACATCCTCCTGTAAAATTACTTAATATCAGTCAGTTCATCCTCCTGTAACATTACTTAATATCAGTCAGTTCATCCTCCTGTAACATTACTTAATGACAGTCAATGCATCCTCCTGTAACATTACTTAATGTAAGTGAATACACCTACCTATAACATTACTTAATGTCAGTCAATGCATCCATCTGTAACATTACATAAAGTAAGTCAATACATCCTCCTGTAAAATTACTTAATGTCCGTCAATGCATCCATCTGTAACATTACATAAAGTCAGTCAATACATCCTCCTGTAACATTACTTCATGTCAGTCAACACATCCACCTGTAACATTACTTTATATCAGTCAATACATTCTCCTGTAACATTACTTAATGTCAGTGAATACATCCTCATGTAACATTAGGGGGCACGGGTGGCCCAGTCGTTTTAGGCGACTTGATTCACTGTGCAGACTTGCGTCTCTTGGGCACGCTAGAAACCTATGATTGTGGGTTCGAATCCCGGTTCGCCCCGATTATGTTTCTAGGTTTGTCAGCACCATACCCTTGCTCGTGGGTTTCACCGAAGTGGTAAACGTCTGAGACATGCATCACTTCGGGCTTTCCTCCCACATTAAGCTTACACGCCGCGATATAACTGGAATACTGTTAAAATCGGCGTTAAACCAAAACTCACTCACTCACTCACTCATGTAACATTACTCAATGTAAATCGATTCATCCTCCTGTAACATTTCTTAATGTCAGTCAACACATCCTCTTGTAACATTACTTAATGTCAGTCAATTCATCCTCCTGTAACATTACTTAATGTCAGTCAATACATCCACCTGTAACATTACTTAATATCAGTCAATTCATTCTCCTGTAACATTACTTAATGACTGTCAATACATCCTCCTGTAACATTACTTAATATTAGTCAATTCATCCTCCTGTAACATTACTTAATATCAGTCAGTTCATCCTCCTGTAACATTACTTAATGACAGTCAATACATCCTCCTGTAACATTACTTAATATCAGTCAATTCATCCTCCTGTAACATTTCTTCATGTCAGTCAACACATCCATCTGTAACATTACTTAATGTCAGTCAATATATCCATCTGTAACATTACTTAATGTAAGTGAATACACCCACCTATAACATTACTTAATGTCAGTCAATGCATCCATCTGTAACATTACTTAATGTAAGTCAGTACATCCTTCTGTAACACTTTTTTAATGCAACTCAATACATCCTCTGTAACATTACTAAATGTCAGTCAATACAGCATCCTGTTACACTACTGAATGTAAATCAGTACTTCCACCTGTAACATTACATAATGTAAGTCAATACATCTGGCTCTAACATTATATAATGTCAGTCAATACATCATCCTGTAACATTACTTAATGTCAGTCAATACATCCTCCTGTAACATTACTTAATGTCAGTCAATTCATCCTCCTGTAACATTATATAATGTCAGTCAATACATCCACCTGTAACATTACTTAATGTCAGTCAATTCATCCTCCTGTAACATTATATAAAGTAAGTCAATACATCCTCCTATAACATTACTTAATGTCAGTCAATACATCCACCTGTAACATTATATAATATCAGTCAATACATCCACCTGTAACATTATATAATGTCAGTCAATACATCCACCTGTAACATTATATAATGTCAGTCATACATCCACCTGTAACATTATATAATGTCAGTCAATACATCCACCTGTAACATTATATAATGTCAGTCAATACATCCTCCTGTAACATTACTTAATGTCAGTCAATACATCCTCCTGTAACATTACTTAATGTCAGTCAATTCATCCTCCTGTAACATTATATAATGTCAGTCAATACATCCACCTGTAACATTACTTAATGTCAGTCAATTCATCCTCCTGTAACATTATATAAAGTAAGTCAATACATCCTCCTGTAACATTACTTAATATCAGTCAATTCATCCTCCTGTAACATTTCTTCATGTCAGTCAACACATCCTCCTGTAACATTACTTAATGTAAGTGAATACACCCACCTATAACATTACTTAATGTCAGTCAATGCATCCATCTGTAACATTACTTAATATCAGTCAATACATCCTCCTGTAATATTACTTAATGTAAGTGAATACACCCACCTATAACATTACTTAATATCAGTCAATTCATCCTCCTGTAACATTTCTTCATGTCAGTCAACACATCCATCTGTAACATTACTTAATGTCAGTCAATATATCCATCTGTAACATTACTTAATGTAAGTGAATACACCCACCTATAACATTACTTAATGTCAGTCAATGCATCCATCTGTAACATTACTTAATGTAAGTCAGTACATCCTTCTGTAACACTTTTTTAATGCAACTCAATACATCCTCTGTAACATTACTAAATGTCAGTCAATACAGCATCCTGTTACACTACTGAATGTAAATCAGTACTTCCACCTGTAACATTACATAATGTAAGTCAATACATCTGGCTCTAACATTATATAATGTCAGTCAATACATCATCCTGTAACATTACTTAATGTCAGTCAATACATCCTCCTGTAACATTACTTAATGTCAGTCAATTCATCCTCCTGTAACATTATATAATGTCAGTCAATACATCCACCTGTAACATTACTTAATGTCAGTCAATTCATCCTCCTGTAACATTATATAAAGTAAGTCAATACATCCTCCTATAACATTACTTAATGTCAGTCAATACATCCACCTGTAACATTATATAATATCAGTCAATACATCCACCTGTAACATTATATAATGTCAGTCAATACATCCACCTGTAACATTATATAATGTCAGTCATACATCCACCTGTAACATTATATAATGTCAGTCAATACATCCACCTGTAACATTATATAATGTCAGTCAATACATCATCCTGTAACATTACTTAATGTCAGTCAATACATCCTCCTGTAACATTACTTAATGTCAGTCAATTCATCCTCCTGTAACATTATATAATGTCAGTCAATACATCCACCTGTAACATTACTTAATGTCAGTCAATTCATCCTCCTGTAACATTATATAAAGTAAGTCAATACATCCTCCTGTAACATTACTTAATATCAGTCAATTCATCCTCCTGTAACATTTCTTCATGTCAGTCAACACATCCTCCTGTAACATTACTTAATGTAAGTGAATACACCCACCTATAACATTACTTAATGTCAGTCAATGCATCCATCTGTAACATTACTTAATATCAGTCAATACATCCTCCTGTAATATTACTTAATGTAAGTGAATACACCCACCTATAACATTACTTAATGTCAGTCAATGCATCCTCCTGTAAAATTACTTAATATCAGTCAGTTCATCCTCCTGTAACATTACTTAATATCAGTCAGTTCATCCTCCTGTGACATTACTTAATGACAGTCAATACATCCTCCTGTAACATTACTTAATATCAGTCAGTTCATCCTCCTGTAACATTACTTAATATCAGTCAATTCATCCTCCTGTAACATTTCTTCATGTCAGTCAACACATCCATCTGTAACATTACTTAATATCAGTCAATACATCCTCCTGTAACATTACTTAATGTAAGTGAATACACCCACCTATAACATTACTTAATGTCAGTCAATGCATCCATCTGTAACATTACATAAAGTAAGTCAATACATCCTCCTGTAAAATTACTTAATGTCCGTCAATGCATCCATCTGTAACATTACATAAAGTCAGTCAATACATCCTCCTGTAACATTACTTCATGTCAGTCAACACATCCACCTGTAACATTACTTTATATCAGTCAATACATTCTCCTGTAACATTACTTAATGTCAGTGAATACATCCTCATGTAACATTAGGGGGCACGGGTGGTCCAGTCGTTTTAGGCGACGCGATTCACTGTGCAGACTTGCGTCTCTTGGGTACGCTAGAAACCTATGATTGTGGGTTCGAATCCCGGTTCGCCCCGATTATGTTTCTAGGTTTGTCAGCACCATACCCTTGCTCGTGGGTTTCACCGAAGTGGTAAACGTCTGAGACATGCATCACTTCGGGCTTTCCTCCCACATTAAGCTTACACGCCGCGATATAACTGGAATACTGTTAAAATCGGCGTTAAACCAAAACTCACTCACTCACTCATGTAACATTACTCAATGTAAATCGATTCATCCTCCTGTAACATTACTTAATGTAAGTCAGTACATCCTTCTGTAACACTTTTTTAATGCAACTCAATACATCCTCTGTAACATTACTTAATGTCAGTCAATACAGCATCCTGTTACACTACTGAATGTAAATCAGTACTTCCACCTGTAACATTACATAATGTAAGTCAAAACATCTAGCACTAACATTACACAATGTCAGTCAATACATCCACCTGTAACATTATATAATGTCAGTCAATACATCCACCTGTAACATTATATAATGTCAGTCAATACATCCACCTGTAACATTATATAATGTCAGTCAATACATCCACCTGTAACATTATATACTGTCAGTCAATACATCCACCTGTAACATTATATAATGTTAGTCAATACATCCTCCTGTAACATTACTTAATGTCAGGCAATACATCCTCCTGTAACATTGCTTAATGTCAGTCAATACATCCACCTGTAACATTATATAATTTCAGTCAATACATCCACCTGTAACATTATATAATGTCAGTCAATACATCCACCTGTAACATTATATAATGTCAGTCAATACATCATCCTGTAACATTATATAATGTCAGTCAATACATCCTCCTGTAACATTACTTAATGTCAGTCAATACATCCTCCTGTAACATTATATAATATCAGTCAATACATCTTCCTGTAACACTACTTAATGTCAGTCAATTCATCCTCCTGTAATATAACTTAATGTCAGTCAATACATCCATCTTTAACATTACTCAGTCAATCTGATCTGTGACATCACCTAATTAAATGTAGTCCATCCATCAGACCCTGTGTCTGACCCACATGAAGCAAGTCGTGATTTCTGCATTGACATATCAGTCGTGCCAGCCCCAGCACAACATATATCATCACTCAGGTTGCCCGGCCTGACCCTGGGAGCCCCAGCACAACATACATCATCACTCAGGTTGCCCGGCCTGACCCTGGGAGCCCCAGCACAACATGTATCATCACTCAGGTTGCCCGGCCTGACCCTGTGAGCCCCAGCACAACATACATCATCACTCAGGTTGCCCGGCCTGACCCTGTGAGCCTCAGCACAACATACATCATCACTCAGGTTGCTCGGCCTGACCCTGGGAGCCCCAGCACAACATGTATCATCACTCAGGTTGCCCGGCCTGACCCTGTGAGCCTCAGCACAACATACATCATCACTCAGGTTGCCCGGCCTGACCCTGGGAGCCCCAGCACAACATGTATCATCACTCAGGTTGCCCGGCCTGACCCTGGGAGCCCCAGCACAACATGTATCATCACTCAGGTTGCCCGGCCTGACCCTGGGAGCCCCAGCACAACATACATCATCACTCAGGTTGCCCGGCCTGACCCTGGGAGCCCCAGCACAACATGTATCATCACTCAGGTTGCCCGGCCTGACCCTGGGAGCCCCAGCACAACATGTATCATCACTCAGGTTGACCGGCCTGACCCTGGGAGCCCCAGCACAACATGTATCATCACTCAGGTTGCCCGGCCTGACCCTGGGAGCCCCAGCACAACATACATCATCACTCAGGTTGCCCGGCCTGACCCTGGGAGCCCCAGCACAACATATATCATCACTCAGGTTGCCCGGCCTGACCCTGGGAGCCCCAGCACAACATACATCATCACTCAGGTTGCTCGGCCTGACCCTGGGAGCCCCAGCACAACATGTATCATCACTCAGGTTGCCCGGCCTGACCCTGAGAGCCCCAGCACAACATATATCATCACTCAGGTTGCTCGGCCTGACCCTGAGAGCTCCAGCACAACATATATCATCACTCAGGTTGCCCGGCCTGACCCTGGGAGCCCCAGCACAATATATAGCATCACTCAGGTTGCCCGGCCTGACCCTGGGAGCCCCAGCAGTACAGAAATGTCCTACCCTTGTCTGGGGTCCACAGCGATGCCTCCGATCTGTGTGTAGCTGATGTTGAACGTTTTTTGTGACATCGTGTCGAGGGATAGAACACGGATTGTACCGTCCTTGTCGTGAGCCCAGAATAGGTTCTGGTGCACCCAGTCCAGTGTGAGGTGGGCAATGTGTAGTTGAGACAAGATCACCCGAGGGTTCTCCACCTCATGGTCTTGATTGATGTATCCACTGCAATTGAAAGATGTGTTCAGGTTTCACACATTCCACAAATATAATTTGTTGGCAAGGAACGTGTTGCTCTTAATCATGACATTTTGGAGAGCAAGGTGTTGATTGTAAATAGTTGAGACCATGAAGACACTATAAGGGAGATATTTGTTCTACCCAGCATTGAGTTAAAACAATGGATAAAACAAAAACAAAAACACACAAACAACAAACATTGACAGTGCTCCTCAATCTGTGGAGGTGAGTCCTCCAGACTCAGGTAACTCACGTGCAAATGATCCTCCCCTGCTCATCACACCAGCACAGGTAACTCACGTGTAAATATTTCTTCACTGCTCATCATACCAGCACAGGTAACTCACGTGTAAATATTCCTTCACTGCTTATCACACAAGTACAGGTAACTCACGTGTAAATATTCCTTCACTGCTTATCACACCAGTACAGGTAACTCACGTGTAAATGTTCCTTCCCTGCTCATCACACCTGTACAGCTAACTCACGTGTAAATATTCCTTCACTACTTATCACACCAGTACAGCTAACTCACGTGTAAATATTCCTTCACTGCTTATCACACCAGTACAGGTAACTCACGTGTAAATATTCCTTCACTGCTTATCACACCAGTACAGGTAACTCACGTGGAAATATTCCTTCACTGCTTATCACACCAGTACAGGTAACTCACGTGTAAATGTTACTTCCCTGCTCATCACACCAGTACAGCTAACTCACGTGTAAATATTCCATCCCTACTCATCACACCAGTACAGCTAACTCACATGTAAATATGCCTTCACTGCTTATCACACCAGTACAGGTAACTCATGTGTAAATGTTCCTTCACTGCTCATCACACAAGTACAGCTAACTCACGTGTTAATATTCCATCCCTACTCATCACACCAGTACAGCTAACTCACATGTAAATATTCCTTCACTAATTATCACACCAGTACAGGTAACTCACGTGTAAATATTCCTTCACTGCTTATCACACCAGTACAGGTAACTCACGTGTAAATGTTCTTTTTCCCGCTTTTCACAGCAACACAGGTGACTCCATTGTAAATGCTACTTCTCTGCTCATCACGCCACCACAGGTAACACATGTGTAAATATTCCTTCACTGCTCATCACACCTGTACAGCTAACTCACGTGTAAATATTCCATCCCTACTCATCACACAAGTACAGGTAACTCACGTGTAAATGTTCCTTCCAGTCCTATCGCACCAGTACATCTAACTCACGTGTAAATATTCCTTTACTGCTTATCACACCAGTACAGCTAACTCACGTGTAAATGTTCCTTCCCTGCTCATCACACCAGTACAGGTTAATCACGTGTAAATATTCCATCCCTACTGATCACACCGGTACAGCTTACTCACGTGTAAATATTCCTTCACTGCTTTTCACACCAGTACAGGTAACTCACGTGTAAATGTATCCAAGGTATATTTACGATGGTAAAATACGGTAATTGTTGTTGATTACCCGGATGGCAATTCGAGTACTTCTTCGACCTAACCACGGTAATCCCCTCGTTTCTGGTGCTGACGCTCGGGGACGAGCGAGAGGTACAATGTCAGTACCCGAGGGCCTTGGATTTATTACCGTAGTTACTCCAACAACTACAAAGAGTGATCTTCGTTCAACAGCTTTTATTCACTCTAGTGTTGTTGGTCAACCCACTCTATGGTCACTTGATAATTACAGGACTTCGGCCGCAAGGCTTCAATCCCTAGTCCAAATACTGGAGGTTTGTATGTTTCTTTTCGAATATTAGAACGCGACCACAGTGTTCAAGTGGGATCCTCCAGCCGTCCTGAACCCCCGTTTCCTTCTCTTTTTACTCCTGACTTACGTCATGGCCTTACTCATTTTTTCCATTGTCATTGGCCATCCACCTATCTCCCCTGACATTAGGTCGTCCTAGCCCACTGTTGTCTAATCTCTAGGTTCTTTTTAGGACTTGTGGTAATGTGACCGTCTTGACTTCCAGAGTCTGTACTGTCACCCCCCAAACCATATATGAATCCGAGGGCAATTTCCCTTACGTTTCTTTTCCCAATCTATTTCGTCTTTGGCAACCTGTATGTTCCCTTGTTATGTTACCTTTATTGTTTTGCTCTATCACCCCGACCCTCGACCTAGTACTGTCACCCCTGGTTAACAGTGACCCAGTATGTCTCCTGTGTTCAATTCCTATATCGCCTGCCCTTCCTATATCTTCCCATGTGTTATACCTATTTCTTACTCTGTTAGCCCCTCATCTTGTTTATTTATATAATTACTATGAGTGTCTTAATGACTTGTTAATTACTATTCTTTTATCTATTATTTTATGCCTATAATACGATCCCCGGTCTGACGAAGAGTGTGTCCTCACACTCTTAAGGTAGAGTGCCGTGGGAATCTGGGTTGGTTCAGTTTGGGTTGTTGTTGTTTGTTGTTTGTTTTTTTTGTTTTTTTACGTACTGTTTAAATAAATGGGTGTGACCATAGTGCTGGTTGACCTTGAACAATTACAGAAAATACACACACAATTGCAAAAAAAACCCACACACACGTGAATACAATTTCGATAGATATATACGTCTAATATACAAAGATTGGCATAGTTCTAATAACAATGATACACCCATTTTCATATATTTGTACTAGTTTGCACTGATTTAGGTGCAATAGGAGTAATAATCCTTGAATATATTCATGGGTACAACCTTAATACCAATAAATCACACAGAGTACACAGATGGACACAAGGAATATGTTACTTAAGATCGACATTTATACAATATAGAGTTAAGAGACATAAACTATTGATGGTGGTGACGCTTTGATTATGTGTGACCTCTCTGTGAGACGATTCTTATTGCCGCACAACTATGTTATGTTTCGTTGGGGTCATTGTGTAGATTCAACCAGTCTGTTAACCGCGTAACTGACACCCCCTTGTTCCAACAATATTCGTCCCAAAAGTCTGAACTTTGAGGGGGGTAGAACAATCTAATTTGTAGCGCCCTCGTTTCTACGAGCCTACGATTGAGCGGACCTATAAGGCGTCTGGTCTCGTCCATCAATGTTTTTGGAAATTCTATTGGAGGGGACGACTGGCTTAAATATATTCGTACCGGTTTCCCCGGTGGTATTCGTACTGTTGACGATCTGAAATAATTCATGAAGGTCCTTACGTCGAATCTATCGAGGGGATGTTTGGGCGGTGTGAAGGCCGGATTTTTGTACAATATAGGTGGAATGTCACTCGGCACCTCCATGAAATCACAGCCAAAAGGTACCCTACAGACTGAACACTGATCTAAATTGAATCTGAGGTCTAAAGGTGGAGAAACACGACCTTCCAGAAACCCTGGCTGCACGTCGAATGCTTCCGAATAGTGGCTGGTAGGGAAGTCGAGTTCTATATACTGGCGGGCATTTGGTGTTCCTGCGTTAAGTGTCACTATGCGGTAGGTTAAGCCAGACTGTTTTAGCAGGGCGGCTGCACATTCCACGTGTTGTATCCGGCGACACCATTTGCAAAAAGTTACCATTGGAAAATTTGTTCCCAGATCATTCATCGGAAATGTGTCTTTATAACAAAGGCCGCATCGCGTCAAGACATGCCGTAACGCCAATTGCGATTGACTACAAGTGAGATGGTCCCTTCCCCTTGTTAAACTTCCTAGTACTTCTGGCGTTATTGGTTTGGACAGAGTACGTCCGATGACTGATCTAGGAATATCCGCTAACTGCCAGAATATTTCTGTATAACTCTGTAGGTCGGCACCCATGTCCGTCTGTAATTGTTGTAATTGGAAAAGGATAGTCATGTCCAATTCTTCGATTGCCGTCTGAACACCTAATACTGTCAACATTCGTAAGTCATAGTATAAACCGTACATTAAAAGTACGGCCGCTCCTATACCTAACAAGTCGGGGACATCGGTCAGTGGTCCTGGGTTTGCTGCTAGATAAAGGGCCCTTCCTATACGGTCGGCCAAATCAGGGGGGCTGGGCGTAAACAGTATTGGAGGGTTCAATGTGAACTGACGACGTTTGTAAGTTTTGAACCTTCCGTCTGCTAAGTGGGTTTTTCCCCAATGTTCTCCCATATTAAAAATGTAGCCAGAAAGACATTTAAAGAATAGGGAGAGCCGACACAATTTTCGCCATAATTTTTCCGGAATGACAACAGGGGCGGTCGTTTTGCCGAATTCGTTATCAAAAGAAGTCACAACATGTTCAACCGTCTGCGTATCCATCACGTTACAGGGTTTCAAACCAATATGTATGTTAATAATCGCACACTAACAATATATTTGTATATAATTGCACTTAAAGTAACGATCGGTAGTCGCCGAATGTAGTTCCAGGCCTCTGCCGAGCTGAACACGAGTAACGGTCAATCCTTTATATATGGGTATGGTGATTTGAATGATTGTGCGGATTGCAAGGACTCGAAGTTCCAGGGGTAATACCCCTGTCGAACTTGATACGTACCGGCGTAGATGAGACTCCCGTCGAACTTGATACGTACCGACGTAGATGGTAGTACCAACCAACGCTTTATCTGCACATATAGATATTGCCAATTATTGTACGGATCGTATGAATGTGAAGTTCCAGGGATAACACCCCTGCCAAACTGATACGTACAGACGTAGATGAGTGTACCAACCAACATTGTTTTGTTGTTGTTTTTGTTTTGTTTTGTTGTTTTTGTATTTACATATATGTACCCAAGTAACCCACTGTGTCCGGTGTTGATTCACCTTGATATCCCACGTGTGTGCGAAGGACAACTTTAGGGTGTTAAAGTGGATGTAGAATATGCAGGAGCCCAATGTAGGGTTTGTTTTGTTGTTGTTGTTTTGTTTGTTTTTATAACAAGGACAGATTGGTTTTGTTCGGAGTCTTGCGTGTTTTAATTTTTTTTTTTTTAATTTTTTTTTATAGTTTATTTGTGGTTGAGTACTTGTATTATTTATCTAGCAAATCTTATCCTGTAAGGTTGCTTTGGAGGTGTTCATTGTATAAATGTTAACCATTTAGCGCTGGATATAGTCCGCCCCCCGACCTGTCCTTGTATTGACTTGCTGTTGGGGTTTGACTGGCATGGGAATTTGGGGGTCCGGCCGAAACAGGATAAGTCGTTCTAAATTGTACTAGGTACATAAACAATAAATATCTGCCCTGGAGGACCTTATACAGCCGTCCAGCCACATGTCGAGGGACAGTTAGTACTACAGGGAGGGCAATTTGGGTATCTGTAAGCGTGTTACACAGGGACACATTACTCATGGGCCATTTGATGTATATCTTGGAAGTGAGCCAGTGATGTGTAATCTGAATGTTTTCCGGGATATATTGTGACTGAGAAAGGGCCAGTACCATCGGCGGGGCGTCAACCTTGAGGAGGTTGAGTCTAAGATTGTCATGTGGAGTCGAAAAACTTAGGTAGAGCGTCGTGGTGGGGTTGGTTTGGACCCGGTAGAAATAAATTGCCAGTGTTATGAACAATATTATAACCAACAGTAATACCATCATTTCCAGATTCCAAAGGGGTTTGAATATGGCCGCTGCCGACAACCCAGGCGTGTCGGTTGTTGTGGTGGCGGTAGCAGGTTGCGTCCATACCAAAGGATTCTGAGGTATGGATATTCCCGCCGCCGTGGCCAACGCCGCTCTTAAAATTAGTTGTGCCTGTATTGCCGCTATGCGACGGTTCGTAAGAACTACCGAGACGAATAGCACAGCAATACAAGCCCACATTACGTAAGTGGAATAGGCTACTACCCCGAACCAATCGGTGTTCCCTTCAGTACTCGTCAGTGCATCCAGGTACAATGGATCGGCCGGGTTAGTGTAAATAATTTCATTGGCCTTGGCTTTGGCGACGGCATGTTTTAAGTTAATACTGATTTTTGCGTCGGTTTTCAGAAGATTAGTGAATGAAGTGTTTGACAACCGGAATGGTGCCGTTTTGTAAGCGACAGGTTCCTTTGCGACTAAGGACGGTAGTCTCTTCAGGATGTCTTCTGTCGAAAAGTAATGACGGAGCAGGGCCACATTTAACGTGTAATTTACAAAGGATGTGTCTTCAGGTTGTCTGCAACCAGTAAGGCGTGGGGGAAGCATCTTCCCTACTGCTTGAATAGAACAGTAACAATAGATAGGCGCTAGGCAATAATTACATCCCTGTTGGATTTTTGTTACATTTGCACATGTATAAATTACTTTGGGTATTTTGAGGAGGAGTAATTGTCCTGAACCTAATTCGTATAGTTGTGACTCCGCTCCGTCGGGTACCAAGTGGAAGTTGCATATTTCATGTACCAAGTCGATATCATTCTGAATGAGAGCAAGCGTACACGTGGGATTTACGAAGCTCCTTTCCGCTGGTAGACTACTACATTGTGTGGTGGTTGTGTCTATGCATGATTCGTACTCCTCCCTCGTAAATTCTACAAATCGTTTATCTCGCTGTGACACCGCAATGAACCTTGCCAGGTTTTTGACTATGGTAGTATCGTTCGAGTCTTCATGTAATGGAACTGGGATAGCTGTGGTCTGATAAAGGGTAGTGGCTTCCTTAAATGGGGTGATGGGGACTAATAGGGACAGGAAAAGAATATCCCCTTTCCGGGTGACTTTCACATGTGCCTGGGTGTAATATTGACGCGGGTCCTTATGCACGAGGTCAAAGTCGGGATAATGTAAGGCCAACTGAAGTCGAATTCTATTTATTACCACTCTGAGCGTAGATAATGGAATCAATTCTTGTGGTAGTTGGCCTTGTAGGAGTTTTGATGTACTGGTCAGGAGGTCCCGTGCGTGTGCGTTCAGTTCATTGGTAAGGTGCAACTGTTGTGTGGTTAATGTGAGTAAGGTGGCAAATAATTGTTTGTACCAGTCATTCTCCCGGAGGCTCTGTTGTGATGCTAGGACTATTTGGTTGTGATTAAGCGTTACAATTCTCACCAGGTTATTCAGGCGGGAGTTCGTTTGAGTCATATATGATGCCATGGTGTGTCCTGTGAGATTGAAGGCTATGTCTCGTAAGTGAACCTCTTTTGCTAAAAATCTGACCTGATCCACAATGATCTTTAAATCCCTTTCTGTGGCGACCCCCGCAAGGCCCTTAGTTATGGTACCCAAAAATGGTAATAAGCTGCGCTGTTGGCGCGATTGGCTTTGAGGTTCTGTACTTTCTGGTATGAAGTGTTTGATGGTGTCAAGGGTATCCTGTATGTGTTGGGTTGCGGCGTGGTGTATGTCCCGAGTGTAATTCAAAAGTGGTTCCGTTACGTCCTTTGTCTGTAAGCATCTGGCAGCGGTACCCTTAAATGCAGCGACACATCGCGGGAATTTGAATGTGAGATCTGCAGGAAGTGTTTTCGGCAGTGTCAGTGCAAATGTGTGTACCCAAGTTTGGTCGTATGTTTTAAGTCTCCCCAAATTTTTAAACAGAACCCCAAAATGTAATCTCTGGAGATCATTCTCCAGACTAATTGTCCCTTGTGTACTCCAAATCAGGCTTAGGGCGGTGGTCGTCAACAGCCAGAGCAACATCTCGCCTGGGAACAGATAAAGATGTCCTTAGTGATAGTATCTGGGGTCCTATTGATGCAATAACTTCATTATATACCAAAAAAAAAAATTCCCAATACTAGTTGTCAAGCTATTATGTGTGAGGTGAAGTTCCTATCAGTGCATTGTCCGTGTATCCTGGGCGTGATTGTGTCGGTGCAGTGGCTGAAATGCTTTGTTAAATCCCATGGAAGCAGGCACCCCCTATTACTTGATGCCAGTTTCTCACATGTCACCCACCCCCATTGCACACTGGTGGTAGGCAACATGTTCTTGATCCTGGCACCCTTGATATCTATCCCATGATACGCTACATAACTGAATCATGTTTGTCCCTTTACATGACTAATTATCACCCTATTGGCATCACTTCCTTGACAATAACCCATCCCGTCGGCATTATATCCTTGACAAGAACCCATCTCGTCGGTATCACATCCTCGACAAGTAGCCATCTCGTCGGCATTATATCCTTGACAAGAAACCATCTCGTCGGCATTATATCCTTGACAAGAACCCATCTCGTCGGTATCACATCCTCGACAAGTAGCCATCTCGTCGGCATTATATCCTCGACAAGAAATCATCTCGTCGGCATTATATCCTCGACAAGAAACCATCTCGTCGGCATTATATCCTCGACAAGAACCCATCTCGTCGGCATTATATCCTCGACAAGAAACCATCTCGTCGGCATTATATCCTTGACAAGAAACCATCTCGTCGGCATTATATCCTCGACAAGAAACCATCTCGTCGGCATTATATCCTCGACAAGAACCCATCTCGTCGGCATTATATCCTCGACAAGAAACCATCTCGTCGGCATTATATCCTCGACAAGAAACCATCTCGTCGGCATTATGTCCTCGACAAGAACCCATCTCGTCGGCATTATATCCTCGACAAGAAACCATCTCGTCAGCATTATATCCTCGACAAGAAACCATCTTGTGGGTATTACTTCTTGATAGTTTGTTGTTTTTTTTTCCCCAGCCTATTCTAGGTTCAAAGTGTACCCGCCACCATGCTATGCCCGTGTTTCACGTCCCTTCAATGTGTTTGCATTGTCTTGATGTGTTTGTGTCATGGCGTCTCAGGTGTCTCCTAACTCTGGTATTTTAAGCTGTCCCTGTAGTGCATGAGTTTTTGTGGGGTACTGAGTTGGGGGTTGTTGGTTGTGTTGTTTTCTGACGTGTTTTCATATTCCATGTGCGGCCAGCGTGGAAGTTCTCTGTCAACAAGTCCGGGAGTATTGTGTGAGGAACCCAACGGCTCCAAGTCTCCCCTGCATACTTAACTTTGTAGTGCCGGACCTTTCCCATTCGTTTGGATTGGAGTATTTTCTCCACGACCGGTTCATCCTTGGAAAGGTCGTGGCATGGTGGTGCTCCCGTTGCTTGGGTAGTTTCTTGGATTTTTCGTTGAAGGATGGACAACGGAACATCGTCGTCCGAATCCCATTCCTCCTCATCAGAGTCGGTGTTGGTGGAATCAGGGTCCTGTGTGCCAATGTGTTCTGGCAATACCACATCCGTCGGCCGGTTTTCCGGTCCAAGGTATGGTTTCAATCGGTTTGCATGGTCTGTGTGTTCCACAACGACGTAGAAGGTAGTTTGGTGATTTGTACGCGAACACAATGTAGAATGGCCCTGTGTATGTTCTTTGGAGCTTCCTCGACACGTGGGGTAACAGGTTGCCCTTCTTTAGCCACACCTTTTGTCCTACGGTAAAGCTGGGGTCCTGAGCCTTCAAATCATATCATGCCTTGTAGGCGTCCTGTGCGGCCTTGACGTTGGCCTGTGCAATATTCCGTGCCATTTCCAAATTGTCCAGTAATTGCCTGAGGTCAGTCCTAATTGCATAAGGAAGGTCCGCGGGTATAGGTTGTAGAATGTTGTCGATAGGGAGTCGTGGTTCCCTGCCATAAACCATGAAGTATGGTGAATAACCTGTGGAATTTATGGCTGGACTGAGACG